GCTTCTCCCTCCTTCCTTCCCYTTCCCCCTTTCCCTCCCCTTCCCCTTCCTTCCTTCCCTCCCTTCCCCTTCCTTCTCTCTTCCCCTCCCTCCCTCCCTCCCTTTCCTTCTTCCTTCCTTMCCTCCCGTGTGGGAGAGAGAAGCCTCCCAAGTGGGGCCTCTGGGCCAGGGAAGCYGGCATTGCCTGGCCATGCCCACCCGGCGCCGCCTCTTCTGGGATTTTCTGTTGCCCTCTGCTCTCCGTGGCCACGAGGCGCCGCGGAGAGCAAGGCGGCCACGAGATAAGCCGCGCCGGGAGAACAAGCGATGGGTGTGCGTTTAGCTGGAGCAGCAGCGGCTCCTGGAGCCCCCGCGGCGCCGCTCTGAAAAGGTTTGGCGCAATTCTATCGTTGATGGGGTTCAGAATGCTCTGTGATTGTAGGTGAACTACAAATCCCAGCAACTACAACTCCCAAATGTCAAGATTCTATTTCCCCCATACTCCACCAGTGTTCACATTTGGGCATATGGAATATTCGTGCCAAGTTTGGTCCAGATCCATCATTGTTTGAGTCCACAGTGATCTCTGGATGTAGGTGAACTACAACTCTAAAACCAAAAGACACTGCCTACCAAACCCTTCCTTTTCTGTTGGTCATGGGAGAACTGTGTGCCAAGTTTGGTTCAATTCCATTGTTGATGGGGTTCAGAATGTTCTTTGATTATAGGTAAACTATAAATCCCAGCAACTACAACTCCCAAATGACAAAATCATTTTTTTTTGAGTGAAGGACATACATTGGGTTGTTAGGTGTCCAGTGGTTTTTGAGTTCTGTTAATCCCACAAATGAACATTACATTTTTATTTATATAGATTTATTTCCTATATTTATACGTTGCCCTTCTCCCCCTGAAAGGGGACTCATGCTTACATATGCCAAAACCACTTTCAAAACTACAGAAAATATATTTTTTCCTCATTTTCATTGGAACTATTTTATCTTCAGAAATACTAAAGCTATCTTTTTCTATGTATTCCTATATTGCTTTCAGCAGCCCATGGTTGGGTGTGTGTGCATGTGTGTGCCTTTAGGTCTCCTTTTATTTATGGTGGCCCCATGAATTTAATAGGGATTTCTTTGAGAGGAAATACTCAAAAATAGTTTTGTCAGTTTCTTTCTCTGAAATATAGCACCTGCTATTCATTTTTGGCTTCCCATCCAAATACTAACCAGAACTGGCCCTGCTTAGCATTCAAGATCAGACATTTAATCTTTCATTGACTTTGCCAGGTGTTATTCTTCTGTAAAGTAGTATCTGTTACCCCTGTGACCCAACTTGTACAGGCAGTCCCCAAGTTACAAAAACAAATTATGTAGTTTTGTTTTCATTGTAGGCTGAACAGTAAACACATTCATGGATTCCCTGCTGTTATATTAAGTCTGTTACCCATGCTGTGACATGCTTGAAATCAAAATTTCATTTATTTATAATTAGAAATAAATATTTCACAATGTATAATTACATGTTGTTTTTGTGATTAATCATTATGCTTTTATTGTAACAATAAAAATACATCATGCATATCAGATATTTACATTACAATTCATAACAGTAGCAAAATAAGACATGTGCAGTGTGCATAGAATTTGGTAACTGTTTTTTTTTAAAAAAAAACTATAGTCCGGCCCTCCAATGGTCTGAGGGACAGTAATCTGGCCCCCTGTTTAAAAAGTTTGAGGACCCCTGACTCATAACTTACAGCTCAATCTGGGTTCTGGCTTCACTGCATGTGCCATTGATTCTGAAGTGAGTGTATTCTGTGTTGTGCAAGCACAACCTTTCACTTGTTTGGCACATTCTCATATGCGGCATACACAGCTTTTCAAAAATGAAACTGCTCACTTGATTGAGTTATTTATCAAATCTGGACCTTCATTCATGAAACTGGGACTTCTGAGATTGTAGTCAAGATTGTACAAAGATGAGAAAGGCATTGATACCTTAATCGAACTTTGGAATGTAACAATTTCATCTCGGGTTCAATGAGTTTGTGGGATCTTTCCTTTTTATGCCTTATTTATATGTACATATGTTTTATTTACTTATATCACTTTTTAAAATACTGACATCAACAGCAAGCCTGGAAGTGGCTAAGAGATAGCCTCGTAAACCAAAGCGACTGTCTCCGAATGTTGTAGCTAAAGCCCCACAAAACACAGATAAATTATACCTCTTGACACATTGATTATGGCTTTCCTTTTAGAGCAACTTCTTGTTGTCAAAGGTAGTCAATGACTGTAGTTTTCCTCTTAAGCCTAACTGTGTGGGTTGAACTAAAAATTATAAGAGATGCAGAGTTGTTGAAGGCCTGGTTTAGGTTGCCAGTTTATGCTGCACAACATTAGCTGTTGGTTGTTCAGGGAGAGCAAGGCAGAACCAAACCCTTGTGTTAATGGCATAAAGTTAAAGCAAACAAGCCAGAAGGCTGCAAGGGAGGAAGAGAAGCAGAACAGAATCTTTTCTGTATGTCTGACAGCATTGCCTAGCTGAGAGCCCAGTTCCTGTGCATGGGATACACATGTCTATTCAAATTTCAAAAATAAATGTCACTGGGTTCATGGAGGTGTCATCCCTTGCTAATGAAGGGGAGTGGTGAGTGTCTTGGCCTTGAACTTAAGAGAATCTTTTTTTACGTCTGCAGTGCTACTGGAGTTGCATCACAGCGTTGCTGTGCTGGAGTTATACCTCCTGCAGCTCTTGGGAAGATATAACTGTGTGCATGTGTGCATGCATATGTATATGTATGCACGTGCCTTTGGGTCACCTGTAAATCTATGGCATTCTTGTGCATTTAATACAGTTTTCATAAACAAAGAATATTCAGAAGTGTTTTGCCAGCACATTTGTCTGAAAAATATCCTATGACACCTGGTACTTGTTGGCAGCCTCCCATCCAAGTACTAACCAAAGCTGACTCTGCTTAGCTTCCTAAGTCAGACAGAATCTTGTTCATTTAAAATACATGTCAGTCTACCTTATTGAAAAATTGTTCGTTTCTATAATGCCATGGGTATGATATTCACAATGTATGCAAAAGATCCCTGGTTTGAAATAGAGTAGAAAGAAACATCACCATTTCAGATAGTTTGAGTGTTGGACTATGACTTTGGAAGACCAGAGTTCAAATGCCTACTCAGTCATAGAGGGTCATTGGGTGGTTTTGTACAAGACACACATTATCATCCTCAAAGGAAAGAAATAGTAAATTCCTTTTGAATTTTTTTGTAAAAGAAAACACTAGGATAGGCTTGCCATAAGTTAGGGGCAGATTGACAGCATATAATAAGAACTTGATATTGATAAATAAATATGTTGTTAGCTGAAATACATTTTTAATCACCTAGAAATACCTTTATTGCCAAATGAGGAAAGAAAAATAATTCATTGCTGTTTATAGCCCTTGCTTGGATGATTTTCTTTCATGTCTTATCTTTTCAGTGAGCGGATGTTGGTGGGGTTTGTGTAAGTGGTGCTGATACAATATAGTGCAAACAGTTTTAATGCACCAGGATGATGGGTTTAATCAATGCCTCAAGGAAGCATAACATCATGATGAATGAAAAAAGGGGGAAATTTCAAAAAGGCTTGTGTTTATGATGATTGGTACAAAACTGGCAATGGATATCAGCATATCTAAAGATAGTAAACATTGTGGAAATGTAGACACAGTCTGAAAGGGCACCTTGACACAGCTGTTTTCGCAGTTAATGCACTACTGTTTGTGCTAATGTGGCCTTCTGGGTATGCTGATCCGTACATTCAGAGGTGATGTGTGTGAAGGCCCTTCCACACAGCCCTATATCCCAGAAGATCAAGGCAAAAAATCCCACAATATCTGCTTTGAACTGGGTTATCTAAGTCTGCACTCAGATAAGGTGGGATTGTCTGCCTCAATATTCTGGGATATAGGGCTGTATGGAAGGGCCCTGTGAGACTTGAAAGCACTGCATAGAACATTATTTGAATACATTATTTGAATACTGCAAATAAGGCAGGGACCATTTCTCCTTCCTGAGCTTGCCTAGTGGGTCAAAGCAGTGCATTTCCCTGTGTTTCAAGTGACATGATTTCCAGTTACAATTTTGGCTAAGTGTTTTTCTCTCTTTGTATGTTTTGGGGAGATTTGGAATAGATGTTGGGGGACATGTTATGGGAGCACTCTGTTGCCTTTTAAATTGGGTTTGGGAGATTATCCTCTAAATGATTGCTCCAGAATCAACTCACACTCTTTGAAAAACAATTGGGATGATCTGAGTGAGTCCCAAGGGCCATACAAATGGGTACCAAGGGCTGCATGTAGCCTGTAGAGATATCCAAAGTGATGAACGTTATCACCAAGGGGTTCAGGGCTTTAGACATAGAGAGCTGTTTTAATATTAAGATTGTATATCAGAGTGCATTCATTGTCCCACTGTTGTATGAGACATCAGCTGCTGTTGTCTGTCCCCATTTCCAAGAGTAATGGGCTTGTCTCTTTCATTTTAAGAATAGTAGAAGACCTGTATTTCCTCATCATTCATCTACCTCCTCAGTCCCCATCAGAAAATAATGGGAATGTATGCTTTACAAAACCAAGTAATCTCTGAGGTCCTGGCATGAGTCATCCATTTTAACTTGTTAGTTAAACTTTGGCATATTTTTGGTTTTGAGAAAACCACAAGGATCAAGTATTGTTTGATCTCTTGGGGCAGCTGCTTTGATCATACAACTGTGTATCAGGACGAGATTCCTTCCTTTCTCCCTTCTTCAGCTACACATTTTACAAAAACTGAAGATTCAAGGAATAAACAAGCTGTGATGTGTCTTGCATCCATTCTATTTTTAACACTGTCATGATTCATTATCAAAATAGGAAAAGAAAGAATCAATGAAAGCTCAGCTAGGAAGTTGCAAAACTTTAGGTTAGCCACAGCTGTGGGCGTAATGCTACTCTCTCTCTTCCCCTTTTTCTCCTCCAGCCGGCCAATGCACCTTCTCTCCCTCCCACTGCTCCAGACTGTCTGCGGCCTGATGTTCGAATCCCTGCAGCTCAGAGCCAAAACTGCTCCAACTACCAGCCAGACCTGAACAACATCACCCACGGCTTCCTCTACCCTCCCAGTTCGTAGCACTCTTTATATAGAAAGGGCATAATATTTTAATCATCTGGATGTGGCCAAGCATTTAAACGTATACCCAGCACTAGAACAGCCCACTTGGGATAAGTGTGTTAGCGTTCAAGGGAAGGAAGAAGCAAGGCATTTTTAAAAAAATAAAAAAGTTTTATGGCAGTTGCCACATTTTATAGTACCGGACCATGGAGTCCTTAAGGACATAGAATCATAGAATCATAGAGTTGGAGGAGACCATATGGCCCATCTAGTCCAATCCCTGCCATGCAGGAAAAGCACAATCAAAGCACCCCTGGCAGATGGCCATCCAGCTTTTTTTTAAAAAAGCCTCCAAAGAAGGAGCTTCCATCACACTCAGAGGCAGTGAGTTCAACTATTGAATAACTCCTGTGATCAGGAAGTTATTCCTAAAGTTCAAGTGGAATTTCCTTTCCTGTAATTTGCTCCAAGTACTAATCTCCAAGGCAGCAGAAAACAAATCTGCTACCTCTTCCTTATTTCAAAATACTTTTATTTGATAGTTTTAGAGCTATAGTGAATAAAGATATATGAAAGTAGCCCTCCCAATGAGTCCAACACCTGTCTTGTGGAATATTTATTTCACAGATGGGAAAATTTTATTCAAAGGTAACACCAAAGGTAACATCAAAAAGTCCTGTAGGTTGGAGTTGTACTCCATAAAACTTATGCAGAGAGATATTATAGTCCCTTGAAACCAAGAGAAAGTACATGTAACTTAAGCTTTTGCTAACACAGCCTACTTCTTCAGATGCGTACTGATATTCCAGACTAGCACGGGCATGTCTTTGAATGCTATCCACAAAATAAATAAATAAATAAATAAATAAATAAATCCAAGCTTTGAATTAGTTCTTAGGGTGATTCAGCATTACCTATTGAATCCATTTGACCAATGTTGCATTAGGAAAGTTAGAAAATAGACCTGATTATTCTCTTTATTCCTTTTGTAAGATGGCAAATGTGTATAGCTATATTTACTTCAACAGGAACCCCCGGTAGTGCAATGGGTTAAACCCTTGTGCCAGCAGGGCTGGTGACTGACAGGTCAGCAGTTTGAATTCAGGGAGAGCAGGTTGAACTGTAAGCTCCAGCTCCCCATGCAGGGACATTAGAGAAGTCTCCCACAAGGATGGTAAAATATCAAACATCCGGACATCCCCTGGGCAATGTCCTTGCAGACGGCCAATTCTCTCACACCAGAAGTGACTTGCAGTTTCTCAAGTCACTCCTGACACTATTTTTTTAATTTCAATATATGCTAATTCTGCCCTGTTGTATTCAGGGGCCATCCTGACCATTTTGTTAAACAAGGGCCCTGGATATCTACATAAATGCTTTAGCATGATGGCACAATTGGATCATATTGTAAGATTGAGATTGTTGCTTTGCCACAGAGCCAGAACCAATTGGTATAAAGCTCTCATCTCCTATCTTGATGATGCCAGGAAGCTTCCTGTGATCTCATTTCAGTGAACTGGAAGAGCAAGAATTGGTCCCAGAAAAAAAGGCATGATGTGGCATCATATGTCTCATGTTAATGTTGTACATATTTTATGGATCTGAAACATGGGGTTCCTTCCCAGATGTGCATGAAACTGAGAGATCAGGCCAAAGTGTAGCTTATAGCTGGCTTTTGGAGTTGAAACACAACTCCATTTTGCAATATTTTGTTACAGCTCCATCTGTTATCTCTTTATTGATTTCATGACATGCTACGTTGCTAAAATCATAGGAAGGATTTCTAAGAAATAATATTTAAGTGATACTTCAGTGTTTGTACTCTTTTGAATTAAAGTGTGTCAGTTTTAAAATAATACATAATTTTGACTACACACCACCCTGAGTATATATATTTTATCTCCCACAGACTTCAATTCATCTAATTTGGAACAATATGATGCTTTACTTACCAGCAATATTGTCCCCATGTATAAAGAATTTCAAAGTAAGTTCTGATCATATCAACCTACTCTTCATTCTGAATTGTGGTGATTGGTGGCTATGGGTTTACCCTGACCTTTAAAATAGTATTCAGAGTTCTGAAGCTACTTTGGTCCTTTAAAGTTCAGAGTAAAACAGAGTGAACTCAACTTACATCAAAGCCGGTGGATAGCAGCCACCAAGGTGTTGCATTCACATCTGTTGTCTTGTGTGGCTAAGAGATAAACAAACTACTGTATACTGTTAGAATGCAGGACTAGATAACACGTGTCTTTGTAGATGTTTTTGGACTGCAAATCCCATCAACTTTAACACATAGTTCCAATGGCAAGAACGGGTGGTTATCCATCTCAGTTCTAATGGCACCTTTGGCTGGCCTGTCTTTGCAAGGAGAGAGACACAACCTGCCTGTTCCCCAGGTGATGCAGTGTTTATTTCATCAGGTTGGTCTTGGATGTCAAGGAAGTATTTACTTCATCTAAAATGCTTTTTTGAATTGGAAAAACAACAGGCAATTCCTATGTCACACAGGGTATTGGGGGCTCTCTTTTTAAAAGTTTAATATGTGAGTAGGCCTTTCTGAGATTTTCCTGTTGCTAAATACTTCCTTGGATATCACATAGTTTTGTCTGGAGTAAAGAATCTTATGTCTAATGTAAAGCAATCTCAATTTGATTTCTAAAATGGTCACCTTGCCTTACTTGCAATTCTCCTTCTTTAGGGGGAAATTTCCCTTGCAAATAGTGCCCATCTTCTAGATCAGTGGTTCTCAACATGGGGTCCCCAGATGTTTTTGGTCTATAACTCCCAGAAATCCCCGGCAGTTTACCAGCTGTTAGGATTTCTGGGAGTTGAAGGCCACAAACATCTGGGGAACCTGGGTTGAGAACCACTGTTCTAGATAACCAATGAGGGGAAGGTAGAAAGGAGGACCCCCCCCCCCCCAAATCCTGACAATAGAACATGAAGCCTGCTGACTTCTCAAGCTGGGAACTTCACTTGTAGGAAAGAGGAGGAATAGGAGTGGCTGCTTGGAAACTCATTGTTTTGGCAATGAGTCTTTGGAATTGGTAGTGCATTTTGATTCAAAACCCATGTAGGAAAAAGTGTGTGATCTCCCACATCCCATCTTCTTAACTATTAGTAATCCCTTGTTGTTTGATCTTTAGTAGCATCTCTCCTTTTATATATAAAAGTTAGAAATTTTTGCCCAGCAGGAAACTGACTGATCCTGTCTGGCTGAAGGAGTTTTGTAATTCTGCACTCAGCAGGCTCCTTGCCAGTTCTTTCCCCATGAATGGCCAATGAGGAGAGGAGCTTCTTTCCCCAAATGAAGTGACTGGAGAGTTGAGGCTCAGGCTATATTTTCCTAGTCATGATTTGGCTGCTGTAGCTATGTGCTGAACAGTTACAATCTGTACTGAGGAAATCAGAGGTTTTCAAAGTGTTCTTCAAGGTACTCAAGAATTAAAGAAGAAGTAAAAAAGGACTTGTTTTTTGTGAAGAGATGCTGAGAAATATTCTCATCACTTGACAATGTACCAAACACAAGCAGGAATTGGTCACTGCAACTGACTGTATTGTAAGGGAAACTCACCCTAACTGTATCTTGTTGTGGCAACAGTCCACCCACTTGCGATGAAACATTTAACTTTGCTATTGGTTGTTGGTTTGATCATTGTTTTATATTTATTATAATGTTGTTGTTTTTATTTTGTTTTGTTTTATATTTTTATTTTACATTTTAATGTGTTACGTTTAAACTGTATTGTTGGGTCTAGCCCTGAGTCCCTTTGGGGAGATGGAGGCGGGGTATAAAAATAAAGTTGTTGTTCTTGTTGTTATTATTACTCTCTGCTCTTAACCACAGGATTATGGGACTATTTCCATAATACTTTACTTCCAAAATACGTTGCGGAGAGGAATGGACTGAATGTGATCAGTGGGCCTATTTTTGATTATAATGCTGATGGACATTTTGATTCATTGGATATTATTGCACAGTAAGTAAGATGTTAGGAAATATATGTATCTTTAAATTTAAGTCTTTTAACTTCCTCCAGTGAGCCTTGAGAGATTTCCAAATGATTATCCACCAACTTTTTAGTGAGCAATGCTACCAAACTAAATAAAAGTTTCTATAATATAAGAGAGAGATGGGATCATTTGACCATTCTAGAATGAATTCCTGACATCAGATATGGACAAGGAGGAGTCTACCATTAGAAGCTTTTCTTCCCTCAAATAAACAATATTCTCTTTAAAATAATATTGATAAGGTTTAAGGGTTGTTAAACAACAACAATCACCAGTAATGGCATTATGGATGACCAATCCAAGACACTCAATCCATTAAATATTCTACGGATGTATTGAAACAACATGGGATGTAATGAGGTATTCTATCTCCTCATGCTATGCAGTAAGAATCCATGTTGTAAATCAAAATGTATGTGGTCTCTCACAGATAATCTGTTGTACATTTTGAATGATGAAGAATAAAACATAAACCAAACAGTGACTTAATTACAGAGGATAGTACTAAACACTGATCCAATGAAGGAAGCAAGAAACTTTGCAAGTTTTGAACAGTTTGCCTAGGAAAATTGTAAGCTTGAAGGTTTGTGGCATTGATATTCCTGGATTTGCTGTCTTTTCTGGACAAACTTGATGCCACATTTTTGAAGGATTGGTTTGGTGGGAGGAAAAGAATTTCTGCCACAATGTAGGAGGTTGGATGAGATGACAGACCAGAGCTTCCTTCCAGTCACAGGACTTTAATATTCTTTTAGCCACATAGTGCTGTTTACAAGCATTTGCAAACATGTCAAAATATGTGCAAACTTGGTAATGGCAAGGTAACCCTGTCCATTGACTGAATCGAAAGTTCAAAGAGGAATGACCCCATATATTATGGAATAGAAAACTCTTGGAATGCATCTTCATGACATTTTTTCAAGCCAATGAGTGCTATCTCATTTTCCATTTGTTCATCCATTCATCCATTTTGAGTTAGCACAAAGAACAACATGGAAAGATCAACAAGAAAAGAGCAACAAGTAAATGTTCTTACTTCTGTCCTGCTCACAGTAGAATCCTGATTGGAACCTTTGAATCCAAGCTATTAATTTGAACTATTTACATGAGATTAAAGACAATAACTTCATTGATCTAAGAGGTGTTAATTTAATTTTTGTAAAAATTCTTAACCATGTTATTTTATAGGAACATGACCAGCCTGCAGATCCCCATCCCAACCCATTATTTTGTTGTGCTGACGAGTTGTGAGAATCAGACCAACACGCCTCTGAACTGTCCGGGCTCACTGAAGGTCTTGTCTTTTGTTCTTCCTCATCGGCCGGACAATTCTGAAAGCTGTGCTGTAAGTATGACAACTTTTCTATCAGGGAACCCTCCTCCTTCTTCTATAATTTCTACAAGTCTGGCTACCAAAAAAGGCCACATAAAAATATTATTAGATTACACAAGATTTACACCAATAAGTTGTTCCTTTTGCGTTCATTTGAAATGCTTTAATGGTGATTTGAAAATGGATTTTAATTTTAAATACAATAATTGGTAAGGGAGAGCCGGTGTGATGTTCAAATACATGCTTGGCCATGGAAACCTACTGAGGTGACCTTGGACAAGTTATACACTTTCAGCGTCAGTAAAAGGCAAAGGCAACTCCCCTTTTTGCCAGGAAAACCTTATGATACATTTGCCTTGAGGTGCCAATGGTCAGAAACCATTTGAAGGCAGTCAAGCACTACAACAAACTCACACAAACTGTAATTTACAATTTAATCCTATATTTTCCTATTCAGAAATATGTTTTGTTATATTATTGCTTCTGGGTATACATATGTACAGCTGTTAGTTTGCAATGTTAGATAGAAATCTATGGATTTCTAGTTGACAGTCTGATTGTGTATGTGTTTCTTATGTGAAGCAAATGTTCATAACAAAAAAGACATTTTATTGCTGGATAGCCTTACTAATTAAGGTCTTTCCAGACAGGCCCTTTATCCCAGGAACTGATCCCAAGTTTTCTGTTTATCCCAGATTATCTGGCAGTGTGGACTCATATAATCCAGTTTAAAGCAGAAAACCTGGGATCAGATCCTGGTATATAGGGCCTGTTTGGAAAGACCCTTAGTTTCCATGAAACATTTAGGTGTTTCCTAATTAGATCTCAGTCTATGCTGTTCATTCAAAATTTTGACCTAGATCCTGCCTTGTTTGAGTATAGTTGTTCATCTACTTTAATGAACTATGCTTGGCAGAAGATTTATTTTTCCTGATAATATGATTGAATGTGGAATCCCCATCCTGTGCAGTTGTCTCACCATTGCAAGAAACAAATTCCTGTATTACAGGATGAAAAACATCTTAATTGTATTATGCTGGCAAATCTGTCCTATAATTTAGGACCCTTCTACACTGCATATAATCCAGATTATCAAAGATGATAGTCTGGATTTTATATGGCAGTGTAGAAGGGGCCTTAGCTTTAACTTTAAAAGAGCAATTCAGAGTGCTGAATCCTGTCCAGAACTTTGTAGAGCTCCTTTAATGTTCAGGCTAAGGGCACATCTACACTGATCACTTAGCATGGATTGAAGGCATCTCAAAGATGTGGTGCTTTAATGACATACAGTGAAAGCACATGCAGGAACATGTATTACAGGCCTTAAACCAAGATAATCAAAAGTAATGGGGTACTTCAAAAGAAACCCCATAATGCAAATCAATGCACATAGGTGTAAACCATGTCACATGGTGAAACAAAGTAAGGGATAGGCACTGCAGAAATCCACACATGCACATTGTGTGTTTGTGCATGTGTGTGTGT